AGCTATCAAGCTCCTCTCCTGTGGAACCAGGTTCCAGTTTGGGTTCAGGAGGCAGACACCATCTCCACCTTTAAGGCTTAAGTAGGCTTAAGACTTTCCTCTTTGAGAAAGCTCATAGTTAGGGCTGGCTCAGGTGAGTCCTGAACCATCCCTTAGTTATGCTGCTACAGACCTATAGGACTTCCCATGATGCACTGAGCTCCTCTCTCCTCCTCTTTCTCTCCCTCTGTATGCAACCTCATTAATGCATGTTACTTTCCCGTAGTCTTGTGCTTTCTCGTCTCTCTCCTCTCTCCTCCTATCACTTCCTGCAGGTGTTTCTGGCTCTGGAGCTGTGGAGTCTGGATCTGTGGTTGCGGGTCTCTTGCTGCTCCCGTGTTCCTGCTTGACACCCTCTGCTACAATTATTGTTAATAGTCCTATTGTCTTATAGGACTTATATTGTCTTATTATTGTTATTATTATCATTGACATCTCTATAAATATCTGTACCATTATTCATTCAGTCCCCCCCATCCCTCTCTCTCTCTTTATGGCTATCTCTCTCTCTTGCCCTCTCTCTCTCATTCTCTCTCCCATGGTTTCATCTTCTGGTATCCTTTAACATTTTTCTGTACATTTTTTTTGCTCTTCACATCACTTGTCACTGATTGAGAAAGCACTCACGGAGATCTTTCAATTCAGTTTATTGATCGAAAGTTAACAAAATAATTGTTTACTTTCAACACACCTATCAAAAAATGACTTACATTTGATTCCCAGAATTTAATTGGAAACTAAACTATTTCACTCCTCTCTCATTCAAATAATATTCAAATATCATTCAAATAAAAATTCGCAAGCTGTAGTCTTTCCCCATATAGGCAAATACTACCTGTGAGGATGACCTAATTAGGATGAGGAACGATGTGATAAAATTTCCCAATACTTTTATGTAACAGTTATTTGAAACAAGAAAAAAATAAAATATATAACCTTGCTTGTCCATAACAACAATACAAATAATAATAGGCAACCAATCAATTACTATGGCTTGAACAGGTGGCATTTTATGCAAGGTATCGAATGAAATACTCAGTTGGAATCAGTATCACTTTAAGGGTACTGGTTTCGGTACCCAACCCTAGCGCTATATAAATAAAACTGAATTGAATTGATTCTGGTGATATTTCTCCAGGTGATCCAGCAGTTCTAGTCACCAGCGCTTCCTCCATCACAGGCTCCATCAGCTTAGCTTCGGCCATTAAAAAGATCTGTCTTGTCCCCCCAAGTAGCTGACACATGCTTCAAATTGTTGTTTTATACAACGATTTAACTACATTTTAACAACAATATATATTGTGTATACTATATTATTGTTGCTGAAAGTAGTGCATCAGCAACATTTTCTCTGGGGAACTGGCTTTGTTTACTGATTTGGAGTCCTGTTAAAAACTAGTACAATAAAATAACTTCTCCTCCATATTTCTTCTTCCATATGGAAACAATGGAGCTCGATTGTGAAAAGGCTCCCCGTCAAGCTCTGTGGTGTTTTTCATCAGAAGAACAAGCTGGGCTGGTGACTCTGACACCAGAACACACAACGTTCAAGGGTACCCACTGCATGCTGGGATACACTACACCCTGAATATGCTGAGTAGCATTATGTAGATTTGGTTGGATGGCCAGATGGATACACGGCTGCTGCACAGAGTCGAAATCAAACCTATTGGTTACTAGGGCAACTGTCAAAACCTATGACATTAAATTCAGTCTACAATGAAATAAACACCAATAAGTGATAACGGCATTGTTGACACACCCTGTGGATTGACAATGAAATAAACACCAATACCATTATCACATAAATAGTCTCATTACAGTAGCAGAGGTGTTGACCCTGGTTGCATGCTTGAACACCACTCTTCTTCATTTCCACATGTAAAAAGGCTTGTGTGCACAAGTTTACAGACAATCAGTGTTATGTACATTATACATATTTTACATGAGCACCACCACAACCCTTTCAAAAACATGACCTACAAAATACAGTTAAGAGTTTAGATGCTCTGTACATTACTATTACAGCTATGTTCCCTCTTGCTGAACCATTGTTCTTTGTATAATCCTCCTAGGGAATTGTTTGGGAAACTTTCTGCAGAGTGGGAGGATTGCTACAGACAGCTTTATGCTTCCTATATGTGAGATCAGATGGCATCTAAACTCAATTACAATTGATAAAGATGAATCTTTGATCACATCCTGCATTTAATGGCTCGGCCAGCAAGGACATCTGGTGTGTGTGTTAGTGTGTATGTTAGTGTGTGTGTGTGTGTCTGAGACCTGTCGTTTCCATTCAGTCTTTGTGTCTTCTATTCCCTTCCACCGAGCAGATAAAAGCAGAAGTTTATACAACTGTGTGCTTTATGAGCTTTATTGGTCAATGTGAAACGAATATGCCAGTCCTTTCAGCACCTGCATCCAGTAAAACTGAAATCAATGACAAGTGACTGGCAGAGCTTTAGAAAGTGGTAGAAAAGATGGATGAGTGAAGTGCAAGGATCGATAACATTGATTTAGTTTGCCCACACATACCAACATTTAAAAAAGCAAATTTTTGAAGCAAAACCAATTAACTTCACGCAAATGTATGCAGATATTGGAACGCAAATACTGTAAATCAAGACTAAACCTCTCAAGGCACAAAATTTGTTTTTTTAAGCATGCTCTGTCTGCTGCCGAAGCAGCCTATTTGTATTGTTAAATCAGTAACAATAAACAATTTCTTTTTGACACTGTAGCCAAACTTCGTCAAAAACAACCATCTGTTAGCTGCTCGCCCTTTACAGCTCACAATTTTGTAGATTTATTTCTGCAGAAAATAAACGAGATTAGATGCAAAATTTGTTCCTAATTTCAAGCTACTTCTGTAAAAGTGGTAGTACAATATTCATCTGCTGAATCCCTGTTAGTCTCTGTTCTTACAGATTTTTAAACTATCTCTCTTGAAACATTTTCTAACCTGGTTTCATCTCCTTTACCAACCACCTACCTCAGTGACCCCCTGACAGCTAAAGACCTCTGGCTGTTTCTGGGACCTACAATTCTGAATACTGTAAATTTGTCACTTGCAACTGACATTTGTCCCCATTAGCTGTGTCTAAACCACTATTTAAGAAACCAAGTCTGGATCAATGGCATTTAAATCACTATCAGCCAGTCCCTTAACTTTCTTTAAAAAAAAATACTAGAAAGAGTTTTGTCTTAGCTTCTTCCATATTTAACAACAATCTTTTGAACCTTTTCAATCTGCTTTCAGGGTCTGTCACTCTTTTGAAACTACCCTAACCAAAGTGGCAATTGATCTTCTGCTTACAATGGATTCAGATTCCACCTCAGGGCTTCAATTATTGGCTCTCCGTATGGCTTTTGACACCACTGATCATTGTGAACTCCTAGACCGACTGGAAAATCAATTTTTTTCCGTCTCTGGCCTGGCTCTCATGTGGTCTTACTGATCTGAAACTATTATATAACTATTATCATAAACACAGTCTGTGGGCAGGGCAGAACAATTAATTGCATTTGCGATATTATCGTGATGTGATATAACGAGATTTTCTAATCGCAAAGGCTGCGATTACGCTAGTGCAAAATACTATAAAATACTAACGTGACCCATATTACTATCCTGTGTACCACCAGTATTATGTCAAAGTGTTGGGTTTAGCTTGCAAGAAATGATGTAACTGTGCAAAGCAAATGTGGAGTGATGTGTTTATACTAGCATATAATGATGCAACGCAGGGGCAGCCAGCTAACGTAACATAAACACGGATCGCTGTTTGCTTGGTGACGTTCAATTTAGATTCATTGTCATTTTACTGATACTTAGTTACACTGCTTCCACCTCTCAGTGGCTGTATTTACACTTATGTGACCCACATAATAAAGAATAATGCAACATAACGGCACAGGACAACAACACAGTGGAAGACCCATTCACTACAGTAATGTACTTTGGTGTAACTGTTATAAAGTGTGAATCTCATTTATAATATTCAGTCTAACTCACTAACTTTTGTTATTATCCAATCACAATGCTGAGCCTCTGGTGAAAGATACTAGTTATTTGAGAAGTAGGGCAGGGGAGCTTACGCCGATGTGTCAGCCATGTGTCGGCTATGTTCACTCGGTGAAACGTTATCATGTGACCAGCATGGATTAGTTCAACGTTAAGCTGATACACTAACGTTAAAGTTTGGGTTTACCTGAGTTTCCAGCACTTTTATATCCATATCTAAAAACTTCACCGCTAGTGGCTGCTGAAAACTACCTCTTTAATATTCAAAAATACTGTCAATTGCAGCTGCACCTCTATTCACACTCTGTCTGAAAAGCTAATTTCAGCTCCTGTCTCTTTAAGGCCCCCCCTCCGAAAAGGTCTGGATGGGTACCCGAGAGGACACTTTTATCACGTTTTATCTACAGGGGCATCCAAGTACTTTTGCTGCATGTTTTCGAACATGGTGACTTCCTGTCACAAATTAAAAGCCCTGTAGATCTTCAGTGGACAGAATGTCTTAATTTTCTAGTGTTATTAAGCATTTGCAAGACCTTTTAATTCATTTACAAAACATTCAGTGACACTGATGTAATGTAGGTATTCTAATCTTGGCACTCACATGTTACTACAAAATACAGTTTGGCTTGGATGACTGAAATTGGACAATAACACTTATAACAACAATAACACAGATGAGTAATCCAGAAGTGCTGAATTTGTTAAATTAAAGTGATGGAAATGTAAATTATGCTTACTTGGCATCCACATTATATAAATAGGTAGTACTGTAATGAAAACAGCCTGATGTCTCAAACCTCTAATCCATTTACCCAACCTTTATAGGATAGAAAATGTTTATTTCCCTCTATAATAATTAAAATATTATGTGGTCAGTTGTGTTTGTCGTCTCATATCTGAGTAAGCCACAGCATATGAAAAAAAGCACTTGTCTTACCTGTAATAAGAAATCAAGGAGAGCCAGTCTCCCCCACTCTGAGTGGTGAACTCCCACACATGGCGCTGACCTCAGGTCTGCTTCACTTCCACAGTGGACCTGCAGCAGTTTCTGGTACTGAACCCAGCTGAGTGGTACTGAGTTCTGGTCGTTGTCTCCATCAGGGAGGTGCTGGATATCTGGATCCCACCAAACTACAGGTCTGGGTGTGCCGCTGGTGTATCTATATGGTAAAATCTCACTGTGGAAAGTCCTCAGCACCGCAGGGAGACTTCTGTTGAGTCCCAGAACCCTGTCCAGGTGGAAGGCAAACACTTCAAACCAGTCATCAGTGCGTTTGATCAGGGAGCAGTACCCCAGCTGGCAGCTTTCACTGTGGGTTTCTGGATGTCTGTATTTGGGTCCATACTGAGGGGAATCTCTCTCTGGTGATGGCTTCTGTGATGGAAATATACAGTTATATAATGCTGAAAAGACCTTACCAAGGTGTTTTTGAGTTATACCTCTTTAACTACATACTCAAACACATTCTACACAGTTTTATATTTTGGATGTATTTTTCTTTGTTTCCAATAATGTCTGCACAGTGTGAAAATCAATTAGCAGACCTATGGCACATGTGGCTTGAATTATATAAACCAACACCTTCATCTTCATGTCTGCGTACATTTTTAAAATCAGTCTTAGGGCTGAAATGATTTATTGAGTTATTCGAATAATCTGATTACTAAAAAGCATCGACACAAATTCATTGCATTGATGCTTCGTTTAATCCATTCAAGTGTCCAAAGTATGGGATTATTTCAAGCTAAAAGAAAATAACAACTCTGTATTGTTACAGTCTGTCCACCGTAAAAAGAAACTAACGTAGCCTACTGCAACAGCACGGCGGAAATGCTTTATCTGATCAGAAAGAGGGAGATGACGAGTGCTTGGACCAAGAGCTGTGCTGATTCTCTTGTGAGGAACAACTGGTTTCTGCGGATGTTATAGAGAGCGCTCTCGTGCTGTGAGTCCAGACAGTTGTGACCGAGTGGCAATGTAGCTGGTAGAGTTTTACAATATAAATATTTAAAAACAAGGAGCAAAACTTGCTCTGTTTCAGACTGTGAGCTGCACTTTATCTGAGGTGCTGAAGATTTCTGCCTGATGAGTAGTTTCAGTTTCATTCTAACATACAGTCCCAATCTGTGTCGGTTTAATAAATGATAAGGTTAGTCTCTTAATATTATGACTTTTTTTCTGGAAATGTTAGAGAACACAGAGATGTGGGACAGATTTTGAATGTGCAGAAACTTTTGAACATGAGCAGAAACCTGCTGACACAGAGGAACTATTAAAGTCCAGGAGTTTATTATTAAATTTATCATTGAGGTGAAAAGGTGCCACAATCATATTTAAAGAGGTTACTCCCACAAACGAAACACAAAAGAGGAGGGAAGATTAAATCATGACTCAGCAGGGATGATATTACATGAGAAAAGTTGATCTAAAGCAGCACAGAATGCCTGAGAGCCTTACTGCATTACATTCTCTTACAGTTTTATATTCTGACTTGTTACTTGCTGCCTGAATTTTGTGTTTCACTTTACATAAATAAAAATTCTTTAACAGTATTAAAATCTCGTCTCGATCTCATACACCCACTATCGTGTCTCATCTTGTGAGCTGTGTCTCGTCACACCATTTCCCCTATTTCCCCTATTAACTTATATGGATACAATTGAAGTCAGAGAGAGTAGAGTCTGTGCATCTGCCTTTCAATTCCTGAGCGTCGGCTTTGATATGAGTTTTTTTTCCCATATATATATTTATTTTATATTATTTTCAATGTCCAAAAGACACCATACTCATATTTTGGGTTATTCAATGATACATTCAGATGCAAACAATGAATAAATAATATCGTGCATTGAGCCAATAGAAATGACTCCTGTGCCACTGAGCAGGTCACAGCACACACTAAATACAGAAAGTAGGTTGGTATTTATGTGCAGGTGTTTGTTAACAGTGTTGGGCAAGTTACTTGCAAATTGTAATACATTAATGACTACTAGTTACTGTCATTTGAGAGTAATTGGTTATATTACAATATTACTGAATTGTAATGCTTCACATTACATCACATACTTTTTGTTACTTTCACTGCTATAGCCTAACGGGCGCATTATTCTGTAAGATGTCCGCGGATCAGGTGGGTCTTTGTCATAAAAATAAACCTTCTCACCATTAAGAAATACGCTGTGCGCATTTACGCAAGAGGTACAGCAGCATAACGTCATTGATCATTTGAATCTCCCAACACTCTGTCAGGATCTGTCAGGATGAACTGACAGCAGCCTCTCTGATCATGAAAGCCTATAGAAATCTATTTACGCACGATCCGTCAGGGGAGCTACCATCTTGTCAAGAGGAGCCAAGCTCTTCTTTAGTTTGCAATCTCGATCAGCAGATTCCCACAACATGAAATAATGTTACTCATTTACTCATGATTTAGTTTTTCTGGTGCCAAAATGTTTCTTGGTGAATTATTAAAAAACTAAACTAAACTAACTAACTTTGGGTTAAAATGTGTTGTAATGCTCGTTACTGAGATTGTAACGGGTATAATGTTATTGATTTTTTTAAGTAATGCTTTATATTACTGCGTTACAGGAAAAAGGAATACATTACTGTAATTGCCTTAATTACTTACCCCCAACACTGTTTGTTAAACAGACAACAGGCTACAGAGAGGAAATACTGCTGCAATGACAGTGATAACTGTGTGCCTTCATTAGTGTCAGCACTAGAGCCCGACCGATATGGGTTTTTGGGGGCCGATGCCAATATTAAAGTGAAAAAAAGCCAATTTGTGAGCCGATTTTTAGATTAGAGAATGATTTGGTTAGTAGACCCCTTTACTGTATAAACTACATTAGAACAGGCCGCTATTGAAAACTGGTATGTATGTGGGCTATAAAACCTTTTCCTAAATGGATTATGTTAATAAAATCGATTACAAAAAATCTCTCAATCTCTCAGAGAGAGTCAGAGAGAATAAGCATGTGTGTTTCACATAATCTGCCATAATTTCAATGTAGCACATTCACATGCAGTTCTTCCCTTTACCAGCACTCTTTAATTCTAACCAAAGCTACGTGAAACCATTTAACCACAATCGGTATAAATCATGCCGTCTAGGATACAGTGAGCTGCTGTTGAATGCATCTAATACTAAAGGAGTGTCTACAAAGAGGACCTGCAACTAACGTTATAACTACAACCAGAGCCTAACAGCGTTTCACATCTACAACGTCACAAATAGAGGAGCTACAAGAAGCCGTGTTAGATTTTTGTTCAGCTCACGTTTCTTTACATGTCCGCTCTGGTTTAATCATTTCAGACTCACAGACTATAACTGCAGACAGGCGGCTATGCCAATTAAATGCAATTAGCTCATATTGGTCGGGCTCTAGTTAGCACAGTATGCAGACACAAACTCCAACAAAAGTCTCTACAGCTTTTCAACACTCCCACTGAGGCTGAGGGCTAAATAGTTTGAAAAAACACATCTACATTGCGTAACATTTCATATGATCTCTAACTTTATTCTTAAAAATTGTCAAACTGTGTACCTGCTGGTGTGCAGGAGGATCCAGCGCCACTTGGAGCACCTGTCCATGTGCAGGCACCCGGGCCTTACTGATCACCTCACCCCCAGCAAGGAGCTCCATCTTCTGGATGTCATCGTCGTTGAGCCAGGGAAGAGGCCTGAGGTTTGGACTAATCCTGATCCTCCTGTGGTCACTGTCTGGGAAGTTCTGCTCTGTAAAGCTCCGACACCAGCTGCTGTCATCATTCTTTAAGGCTGCATTCAGTTTGGACAAAGCTTTTCTACGGTCCAACAACCCAGGATTCTTCTTCGCTTCAGAGGGATCCTCTGAGAGATTATAGTGTTTTTTGACATCCCTGGAGGGCTTTTTCATAGCCTGCTGCTCCTTACTGACTTTGTCAGATTTCCCAGAGTGCTGTCTGTGTTTTTCCAAAGCCTGGTGATGTTCAGCTAGCTTAGCACTTCTATGGCTGCCATGTATTTGTTTGTCTGCATTCCTGTTTGTGTGTCTATCCTCCAATCTGCCTGCCTGTCTGTCTGCAGCTCGTCTGTCACTTATTAGGGTATCTGCTGGAGCAGGGATGTGTGCTGCTGTGGATTTGCTCCTTTCAAGATGAATGTATGAGTGTGCACTGTGTTTTACCACAGCACTGTGGTTGCTTGGTTTAATTCTATGCTTTGGCCCTGTGTTGTTGACTGTAAACTCTGGGAAATGGGGATGGTGATGACTGGTTAGATGCTGGATGGCGCCTGCAATCTCTTTTCTTTTGGAGGCAATGCCTTTGCTTTTGTGTGTTTTTCTCCGTAAGTCTGCATGACTTCTCTCTTTGATGCTGTTTCTGTCATCGCCAGCAGCGTCCCTGAAAGGTTTAAGTGGCACTGAGTGTTTGTCTTTTTGAGTGCTGGATTTCCGGGCCCCACTGTGGATGTGAGTGAGTGGCAGCTGAAAGGCAGCGGCCGGAGGGGGCTCCATGACCCTGGGCCTGGAACTGAACTCTCGGGCGGAGCTCAGGGCTCGGGACCACCGCCGGTCACTGTCAGCGGATGGCAAAGGAAGGGGGAGAGTGATCGTCATCACAGAGATCGTGAGGAAGAGGAGGAGGACGGGGGAGAGGAGAAGTAGCCATTTTTGACCACAGCAGAGTTTTGACCACACTTTCCAGGCCTGGAAGAAAAAACAGACAAAAAGGAAAAAGACAGAAACATAAGTGACCAACAGAATCATGATTATAAAGTCTACCATAAAGTGGTGCCATAAATTGCAAAGATAGCATTTTCACTCAACAGAACAGAGAGCTAGAATTCCTGAGGGGTTAACCAAAGGCTGCACTCAGATCTCTTGGCTCCAGGCATGTGGAAAGCAAATGTGTTCATGATTCACACTCTGCGAGGGGAAGGGAGTTGAAAAAACAAACTGTGCTGTGGCACGTAATTCTGTTCTGTCATGTAACAATAGTGATGTGTGACCTTTGTGTGTATATTACTCAAAATGGAAATGAGAGAGAAAAGCGGGAATCTGGTGACAAAGACAGAGAACAGCTAAAACACCCTGTTTATGCTGCACAAATCTGAATATGCTAGTGGCATAATATAAAGCTTGTGTCAGCCGGCTCTGTGTTTCCAGTAGCTTTCAGCAGAATTGGACTTATTCAGCTGAGACCAATACGATTGTGGCGTGCTCATAATTCAGTGCTGCCTTCTGCACGCAATGCACAGCAAGGGGAAAAGCCATATTTCACACAATATGCTGTCACTGCCCCAATATGGCTTACTGTGTATTCACTGAAGGCTCTATAAAAGTGAATTTGCTGTAAGAATTCAAAGTGCTGGCTCTTTATTTACTGTGGAGTCAGGCTGTGTAAAACATATCATGCCCTCTTTCCATTTGATGCCTTTAAACAGAGGCAGCAAAATGTAGCTTTTCAACTGACATCCAAATAATAAAACCAAAATAAAGCCTTCAAAAGATTTATTGTTGAGTATTCCATGTTTGGAGAAGCCCTTATAGCAACATCTACTCTATGTGACAGCAACCATCTGAACAGAACCTAGAAATAAAATTGTCTGAGGAAGCCTGGCAGTTCCCCTGCAGACAGGGTGGCCAGTCAGAGAAAAGATAAACAGTAATAGGGGAGGCATAGACCACCTATCCCAATAACGCAGCTTTCTTTCATTCCCAAAAACTGGAATCATGCCCAAGCAAGAGCAACTAAAACCTTAACCAAACAGTGTAAGCTCTATTTGAATGCCCCAGTTTTTCTCCTCACCTATAAGTAAAGCTATAGGTGAAAGGCAGACGTTTTTTTCATTTCTTAACAGGGTGACCCAGATAACTGCTGCCTCTCCACTCTGCCCCTGACTGCTCTCTCCCTCTCTACCCCCCCCCCCCATTTAGGTGAGCGCAGAGTGAAGGAATGTTTCAGACCCTTGAGACGTCTTCCCCATTTTACAGCCGTTAACAACATTCCCAGATCCCTCCACCTGTAAAAGGATCCCATTATTCTTCCCCTGGACAGGAATGCTCTGAACCAGGCTAGTACTGAGAGCCTGACATATTATACACACTTATACATAGACACTACTGTCCCAGTGTGAGACTCAGGGTATGTTCCATACACCTCTTGGATTTAAAAATTTAGTTTAGTAATGCAGTACTGATGCAAGATTGCACAAAGTATATGGGTTTCTACTATACAATCTACAGTATTTTACTCAAGTCAAACTTTGATTATATTGCACTGTTGGGATCTCACCACATAAGTGAAAAAAGAGAGGCCTACATGTAAAGCCTGAACAACAAAACTGCAGCAAAACCATTGGGCATTAGGCCTTTGGTTGTGTTTTTCTGCCACTGCGTGTGAAGCCAATGACTGCACTTCATCAGTTGAAAGACCAGTACCACGACTGTCGAATCTAAGTCTGCCTTCCGGGTACCTGAGGGCTAACCTCCACACACACCTCAGCATACTGATAGCATAATGATAGCATAACTCAGCTGTGCTCCACACCATCTTGTGGTTAGGGACAGGTAAACTACATCCTCCATTTTGCTCCTTATTCCTTTGTTGGGTTTGTGGTCCTGCCTGCCATCTTGAATTCTTGCATGATGTATTCACCCTTGTGGCCACATTTGCCATCTTGCTTTTTTTCTCTCTCTCAGCTCTCCAGTCCTCTCACACTCACCTACACACACATTTGTGTATACGTGTTGTAACTGGTTTTAATGGTCAGTGCTTTATTAGTTTGATTAAGTAATTGAACAACCCCTTTTTAAGACTGGATCCATGGTTGGGTTATTGGTCCCTGATTCTGAGAGGTGCCCCATAACTATTAACTCTTAATTTCTCATAATTTAATTGATATTCATCAACATATTTAATATTTGCTAATAACCACACTTGTCCTACCAGATTCCCAACAGCACATTTCATACACAGGACAACAGAATGGGCTCTACATAATGTGACAATACAATCACAACCCAAAGTGGAAGTGCAGAAGATGAATATGCATATCAACAGGCGTCAGTACAATTATACAAGAATCATTGCAGAACATACCTATGCCAAAATATACAAAACACACACACACACACAAGAAAAAAGTGTTCAGTAGGAGCCACTATCAGGACCTCAGGGAGGGCGTTCCATCTACTTGGGCCATAGATAGTTGGGGCATAGATACAGACGTAACACGATGAATACTAATCCGTCCACAATTGCTCAAAGGTGCTACATGGGGCAATTTATTGTCAGTGAATCATTACTGCATTTAGTGTGAGGAAAATCACACTAAATGAATGCAATCATTGCAGAGAGGATTGGCAGCCTCCACTGAACTCAAAATGCCTTTTCTATTTCACACCACTGAGTTGGATTGCTCAGCAAGTCTGCAAGATTGCCTCAGTCCAGTGGCATGAGGGACAAGTGAACAATATTTTTTATACATACATATTGTAACAACATACTGCAAAGACGATTATAAAAGCTATATATAGCACATTTAAACATTTGCATGCATTCCTGTCCAGTTGATGGACAATGTCCAATGTAATACTCCTTTTAGCTCTGTTTTGGTCTCCATCAACACTTGAGGGAAATATCTCATTCTTAAGCTGCTAAATGCTCCACTATGTTCACCAGCCAGTTGTCAACTTCGTCTGTCTGCTGCTGTGCAGGTAGTGTACAGTGGGTTAATTGAGCTTTTTAACTGAAAACCTGCTGCTGCTGGAAATGAGGTTGATGAGAGTGGTGACACGACGGACTATAAAACTAAAACAATGAGCTGAAAGATGCTAAAAATGTTCCCTAGTGTTGAAGTGCAGAGCTAGGTGATAATTTTCTGTGCAAGCTTTTTTACCTTTCTCATATGTTTAATTGTAAATATAAAAATATTGGTTAGTGCAGCTTTAATTATAACTCTACAGATTTGTCCATCCTTCTTTTCAGTAATAACAACATTATAGTCACCAGTTTGAGTGCTGAGATCTGGGACTGTGGCAACATCCCTAAAAAGAGTCAGAAGGGGCGAGCACAGGACGAGCAGTAAGACCATCAGTCAGATTTTAAGTGGTGCTAATTAGCAGAGTTTCAGGAGCGGGACCACACATCAACCACGTCATCGCCAGCATTTCCATAAATACCCACACGTCCTAACTCCTCCCCTTCGCTCTCGTATCCTTACCCCCCCCCCCCCCCCCCCCCTTCTGTGTCCTGCCTCCTGATCTTCCTCGCCATAGGGTTATAAGGGGGTCCGTTGTCCCCGGGTGCTACGGCGGATTTCCCTATCGTAGCTTCTCCACAACGCTTTCGAATGTCTCTTCGGCAACCGCAAGCCTCGTACATCTTCTGTTTCCATCATCAATAAATCATTTAATCATACCTGTTGATTGTGTGGTCCTTGCTAGTGAAACAAGCCTCCAGGTTAACTTAGCTGGAAGAGAAAATGAGGATGAACAGTATAATTACTACCCAAAGTGGCCGTTTTAAAAATCAATCCTCACTTTCGATTTTAACTCCAAATAAAGTAGTTTAGAAAATCTGGCTAAACTGTTGGCTTGTTTACAACCTGTCTGATCATCTGACTGCTGCTTCTTGCTCTGCCGTCATTGTATTCCCAGATCTCAGGACTATCTTTGGTGCAACACCTCTTTGTTGATGTACAGTCACATGAGGCTCTTTGCTCACAGCTCCGATTCTCACCAAGATTCAGCATGTGTTTTAATTATTGCAAAAGCAATAAGTCACTGCATATTAATGTGTTAATGCTTCACTCTTGCTTACCCATCTCCCTCTTTGTTAGTACATGTTTTGGCTGACCATAGATAATTACCGTCCAAGCATGTACAGCTTAGTGTAACTTAGTGTGAATGTGTCGAGGTGAGAGTGTGTTGTCGGCACTGTGTCGCTTTCAACACCTCTCTAGAGCAAACACACACAGCCCGGCCACGGCAAAGGTCAACAGAGAGAGACGTGAACGCAGCTGAAGACACACTCACATAAGAAATCACACTGTCTGTTTCACGTGATGAGGTTGTCTGTATTCTTGTGTTTTGATTACGCTGTCATGCACTTTGACCTGCAGAATAAACAGGAAAACACTGTGAAACCACATCATATAAGCACCTGTTTCACACGGTGCGGAAAGAGGAGATTTGTGGGTAAATGCACAGAGACACAGACACACAAACACACACATAAGGATCACATTTCTTTTAAAGACACAAAGTTACAGAGTTATTGTAACATTTTCTCTATTCTTTCAAAAAGAAAAATGACACTATTACTGGCAAGCTAAAGATATTTTCCACTTGTTATCTCTCCAAGCTCTGGTTCTTTCTGACAGGTTATTTGTGTCTTTGTTCCTCACTGCGCTGCTCTGACAACAGCCGATGGCCAACAGCTCCCCCCTCCATACACAAATAAATACTATAAATATATCTATAATAACCACATCTTCCCTGAATAACCTCCTGCCTGTTCCGACAGGCCAGGTGACTATCTGACAGCTCCCTAGCTCTTCTTCTTCTTCACTTTCTCTTTTAATATCACTCCTTTTCCTCCCTCCCAGCTGAGGGCTTCAGGGGAGGTATGCAGCATGAGGTCGAGACACGCAACAGGTGTTGCAGCCAGCCAGCTAGCCTCAGGAGAGGACGGAGGCAGAAAA